TAAAATTTTTTATTTCAGATACAAACATTTCTAAGATCTACAGATATAATGGGTCAGGGTCGCGCATTGCGCGACCAGATATCACTAGTATATATAAGAATAAAACACAGACTATTCTAAGAATAAAAAAGGTTTTGCAAATGGTTCTTATATTGCTTGTCTTGATAACCGTGGAAAGGGGAAAAAAACAATGATGATGAATATGGAGGGATTTATTATCATTGGAATTGCTTAAATACCAACAGACTGTATGTATAAATTAAAAAAAATAATAATGCACTTTACAAGCACCTATCTAAGATGCGACATGAGTAGGTCTAATAGAGAAGAGGATATTACTACTGTTAGGAGCGATTTCACGAGTGCATATCATTTTTCGCGTAACAATCCATTGTTTGAACGTCTACTGACTAAAATTTGTTTAGAATGGCGCTTAAAACACGATCGGTGAACTTACCCGAAATAAAACAAAATAAAGCAAAAGAATTAGAACCTCTGAACTAATAGTATGAACAATAGATTATACATTTAGATGAACAATGGGTTGGTTATTAATGTATGAAAGAAATTGTCTATAATGATAAATGTATGAACTTTACATTATAAATATATGAACATGGTGGGGAAAATAAAATTAACATCATTAGGAAATTTCAATAATATATATATATATATATATATATATATGAACATTGTCAAAGTAACGTATCAACATTCTTTGGAAACAAATTATGAACATTAGCCTAATGTGATCAATAGTTGAACAAAGAAGCAAAAAAGTATTCAAGTAGTAAAAAAAAAAAAAAAGAAAGAAAAAACTGACAAATTTCTAATTGTTACAATTTCGGCAACAAGGGCTTCTTCTATTCACATGAGCCAAGAAAGATTTCAGAATAGATGTGATTGGGGGAGGGAATTGTGAACAAGTATGAACATTTTTGCCTAAATATATTAATTTCAAATTATCGATGGGCATCCAGATTGACAAAATCATTAAAATAAAATTATGAACAAAAAATAATGATAGTATAAACATTTTTGCCTTCATGTATGAACTTCAAACTATAATAAATTAAGAAAATTTTGGTATCAAGATTGAACAATAAACAAAAATTAGAGAGAGAAAACAAAAGAAAAATTTGCACATAGAATAATTAACAAATAATATCATTTTCTAAAAAAAAACCAAAAACACAGATAGATCCTAATTGAATCAGATAAAAATGGAAAATTAAAAACTTTTTCTTGCTTTCTAAATTGATTTCAGCAACAGTCATGGAGGCAATGATCATGACTTAATTAAACTACATTAACAAAACTTATGAATAATTTGTTATTTAATGAAATCAAGAAATTTGTACCAATATAATATGCCAAAGCATCAGGAAAACAAAATTCATTATCGGGTGAAGAAATATTCAATAGATTGAAACAAAAAATGGAAAAATAAAAACCTTTTTGTTATATTCCTAATTGATTTCAACATGTTCGGGCTAGGTGATGCCCTAATGGCGACTGTGTTGTTGAGTGTAAACAGTAGCAAACGGTGATTCTTTATCAGTGAGAAGTTTCTTTGCTCAGTTCAGGGGATACAATGAAAGATCAGAAGTGTTTAAATAAGATTTTGCCTTTAATTTGATGGATATCTTAATTATAGAAAAGAAGAGCTTGAAGATAAAAAAAAAAAAAAGATGAAAAGAAATCTCCTAATTTTATTCCCTGGAAACAAAATTGGTTCTATATCTCATTTCCTAAAATGTAGCTAAAACCAGCGCGTGTTTTGATCTATAGTATAATTTGCCTCAACGAAGCATGGCTCGCCTGAATTAATACTTGGACTGGTTGGGATAATGCACTTAAAATAATAAAATGAATATCCCGCTTAATTAATTTGCTGTATTTAATAATTGGTACTGACATTAAACGCAAAAATTATTTTAAGACAGAGAAAAATTATAATTATATAATATCGAATTCCACTTCATCGTCTTACCTTATTGAAACCGAAAAGTATATGTTCTTCTTTCTTAATTACTAAATCTAATTATTTTCAAAAAAAAAAAAGAAATTCATATCTATCAATTTCCCTCCGTTTAACAACAAAAAGAAAACTTCCATACTGTTCGTATATAATGCCACTAGCTCATATATTTCAACTCGAACACCAAATCGTGCAAACCTAAGCAAACGTGTTGAAAACTCATTGAAATCACATGTTTTGGCATGAACCTTCCCTTGAATATCCCTTCGTTTGGCGCCGTCATAATGCACCAATCCGGTGCCTTTCTCAGCTTTCTTGTACTCCAAAGTTAAGTTTGAGTTATCCATGATATGACTCTCATTCCTATGAATAAAATTTAAGACATGAAAAAAAAAATTGTGTATAAAATACGTGAATAATACTACAAAAGTCTTTGATAGATGATTTAAGTTGTGTCTTTGTTTCTCTTTTCATCCATAAAGATGAAAACAAAAGTCTAAGTCGTCGAAGCGATCAATTTATGAGTACTTAAAATTGTCTCTGATTCGTCGGCTACAAAGTCGAAAATTAAACGAAAAAAAAACCCATTGACTTAGCTTAGATGAGATCTGTATCGTCAAATCTTGATAAAAGCATTAATTTTGGGTTTCTGTTGTCATTCTCCCAGGCTGTACTTTTGGTCAAATCCAAGTTGCATTCCCACATCATATGCTTTAAAAGGGAGAGTGAGTCAGCGAGGGGCAGATCAACCGCCAATTTAGCTTCTTTTTCTTTTTCCTAAAAAAGAAAAAATATAAAAGAATACTGATTGAATAACATTCATCAACAGCTAATTTATTTAAGTACGTACGAATCCTACTTATGAATTAATAAAAAATAATTATTGTACTAACGTGTACAAGAGTGGAATCGCAGTCGACGCCGGTGTTATGTGAGCAAGGTTTGAATATTTATATTAGAAAAGATGGTTTGAAAAACTCTTTTATTAACTTATAAAACCAAATTATCAATATTATCCAAATGTTTTAGTGATGTTTATTACTTCCTTTCTTAAAATTATTATCCATTTTAGATTTTTTTTTTTCATTTTAGTATAGTTCAAACTAAAAGTAAAACTATAAACTGGGCAATCATTTCGGGACATAGAAAATATTAATTAATTGAAATATGCTGATTTGATGATATATGATCAGTCAGTAGCCCACATGATATGATCAAATAAACTAATCTTGTTGAACAGCGGGCTCTTGTCCCGGTTTAAGTCAACTGCCCAAACGGTCCGCAAATTAACTACGTACTTTTTGTATGAAATTCATACTTTGAAATCTTCGCCTCTCAATTTGTAGGATTGATCTTTAGTTTAACTAACAACATCAAGCACCATTGAATGCGATAACATTGTGTAAGAAACTTGGTGCTAAGGTCAATGAATTTGATTGTTTCCGTTGTAAACTCATGTCATGTTGGTTGGTTTGAGAAGTTTCACTTCAAAAAGGGCTCCATTTTTCAGACCAGTAGTTTAGCCTTTTTTTTTAACAAAAGTGGAGGCAACTACTTATATATAATCGAACTTTTTGAGAATATACAATCTCGATTACATCATGTTTTTTTTTTCTTTTTTCAAATTAATAAAACACCGTATATGACGGTTTGTTCATTCAAAGAGCTAGAAATACAAACCAAGGTACAGAAATGATTGGACAAAACATGTTACTACTGCGAACGTAATAAATATTAATTAATGCTATTTAGTAAATTGGCCAAACATATTTTCCCTCTGACTTAGGGTGCACTACTGATGAGTTCGAAGTTGTTTTTTGAAGGTTATGATACTGATGAAGGAAAATGACAAGAACTTAAACCAAACAAAGAAATAAAAAAAAAAAAAAAATTGCATCGTAACGAGTACGTGCTATCCACTTTGGTGTTTAATATTGATTACAACTTTGTATCATACTACCTAAGATTGGCTGAAATAAATTTGTTTTCGGTATGGACCACATTGGCATGCTTATCTTTGTAAGCATGCAATTATTTTGTTCTCTACTCAAAAGTAAAAGAATTGAAGAAAACAAGTAGAAGTTATTCTTTTCTGAAAGGGAAAAAAAAAAGAAAAAGAAAAGTGATTTATTTTTCTGAACCAGATGAGGCTAATTAGCCTAATTGCTAACAATATGTACTTACAGGAGATTTGAAAAAAAAAAACAAAAAGATTGTGTATACTTCCTTACTCCGAAATTATTATCTAATTTTGATTTTTAATTCTAGTACAAATTGAAATATAAGTAAAAATTCAAACTAGATAATAATTTTGTGACAGAGACAATATACAAATATAGCTATAGGTTTATATATATCACTCGAATATGTATCCCTTTAATTTGGTGATGTAACTCATTCACTTGGTCCATTTTATCCAAAAGGATTCATTTTGTAAACTTTAAGACGTTATTAATTGAGCATGGATTTATTAATCGGCTCAAGACTCGGCCTTGCGTGTATTTGGACAAATGACTTGATGGATTGTCTTTGGTTGAATACTAACAGAAAATCCGAAAGTTGAAAAGTGATTTGGAAACATTTTCCTTGCAATACAAGGTACTGAATTGAAACTCATGAGACTACTCAAAAAAAAGTTCATTTCCAGATCTCTATTCTCGGGATTTATTACATGTTGTGCAAATTGCATTTCAAACTGAAAACTAAAATTGAAAAAATAATTAATGGGGCAAAAACAAAGAAGATACACAAGCACAGGCACACTTGCGCACCAGTTCTATCAGAAACGTCGCTTACATGTTTAATAGTTTAACCAACTTGGCAGAGGTACAGCCAAAGAAGAAAGGAAGCTTTGACTTTGATTTATTCTTTATTTAGATTTTTACACATAAAATAACCTTCCCATCTATTAAAATTAAAATTAACGGTAAACTTCGTTTACCATGCTATATTATTGCTTATATAAAAATGCTACAAAGTACAAAGTCACCCATATATATATATTCTCCAGCTCTTAAAAATGAAGAAGCAGAATACTTGTGAAGATTTAACCACCATGGACTTCCCTGAACATTTTAGATGTCCAATTTCCATGGAGCTCATGAAGGACCCCGTGACAATCTGTACCGGGGTCACTTACGAGCGAAAATTCATCGAAAAGTGGCTCATCACATACGAGAAGAAAACATGTCCAGCCACTATGCAACCCGTTGAAAGTCTCGAAATGACTCCAAATCATACCCTCAAGAGGCTCATCCAAGTATGGCAAGATGGCCGGAAATCGAAATCATCGGGTTGTTCATCCTCGTCATCACCGGCACGCGACATCAGGCACGAAGAGTTGGTTTCTCTACTCAGAACTATTGAGTCAACTCCATTCAAGGTTAGTCCTTTGAAAAAACTTAGGTCAATGGTAGAGGTTCATGGAGATGATGATGATGATGAAATGAGGCTTGAGTTTAAGAAATCGGGTGGTGTGGAAGTTGTTATTAAAATTCTTGTACAAATTTTAGTTGATAGTGGTTCGGACTTCTCCTCATTTCGCGCTTCTGAAGAAGCGATCGGTTTATTGAATCAGTTAATCCAGTCAACCGATCATCGTAATAATCGCGAAGAGGTAAAAGAAGAAGAAGAAGATCATAGTACATTTGAGTTACTAATGAAGCCCGAGTGTATAAAATCATTCACAATCATGCTTCAAAGGGGTAGCGCCGATACCCGTTTTTCCATCGTTTCCTTATTCCAGAAAATGGCAAAATCCGATCGTCATTGGAACCATGCCATAATTAAAGGTCAAGGAATAGATTTCTTCAAATCCCTTTTGGAAATCGTGTCCGATGAGATGTCTGGAAAGGCTAGTTCATGTGCATTACAAGTTTTGATCGACGTGCTCGATGCATCCAAGAGGAGTCGGGTCAAAGCCATCGAAGCCGGGGCGGTTTGTACTCTGATTGAGCTTTTACCCGATTCAAACAAGTCCAAATGTGAAAGGATCATGCTCTTGCTAAAGGTGTTATGTGAATGCGCTGAAGGAAGGCTGGCTTTCATTGAACATGGACTTGGAGTTTCGGCGATCTCTAAGAAAATGTGGAAAGTTTCAAGTGCTGCTACAAAATTAGGGGTCAAGATTTTGTGGCTCATTTGTGGATCCAATCCAACAGAAAGAGTTTTGGAGGAAATGTTGATGTGTGGAACGGTGAAGAAGCTAGTGGTTTTGCTTCATATGGGTGGATCATCATCAACAAAGAATAGAATTGTAAGGATTTTTAAGTGCCATAGTAATTTTTGGAAGAAATATCCTTGTTTTCCTAGTGATGTTAAGGAATATTTGGGCTTGGGGCATGATGTTTGCTAGATACATGTTCATCATCTGATTATACAAATGTAAATTAATTAAGGTGAATTTTGTAAGTTTTTTCTTTTTCTTGATGTAGATATCATAAAAAAAACATCATCTTGAATACTTATAAATTTCCAATGTTTTCTCGAGTTATCTTTGATGTCATTCATTGCAAATAGTATAGCTTGTTTTTCTAGCTTGTTTCAATCATACAATTTCCTCCTCCGGTTTGAAGAAAACAACACTGGCTCTTTCCCTTACAGAAATCGCTACAACGTAATTAATTTAATTTGTTGTTATTCTATCATCAAGAATTTATCAGAATTGGTAAGTATCTATTGTCTGAGATTCTGGAATACACATTCATAGGTCTGACCAATTTAATGTGTCTTTGAAACTCGCATTTTACAAATCTCGAGGAAATTTGTTAGAACTCCCTCCTCGACACAATAATTAAATGTCTTTCCCTCTAGTGATCTTCTCAGTTAATGAACATGGAGTGTGTTCGAAAAAAATGCATGCGGAAATCGGAATATTGCTAATGAATACTTCTGGCCTTGCATCTTTCTAAGAGGGACGGGGAAAAAAAATTACTTAAGGTCCTCTATAATTTGTATTTATTTTTGTTTTTTCGAGAAGAAGCAAGTATGTAAATTAAGTTCTGATTTATTTTGGTATGTACAAAATTAAGCCTCTATTTATCAAGAATAAATGAAGAGAAAGTAAAAATCTACAACAAGGTATAATCAAACAAAGCAACGTACACAAGAAATGTTGACAATTAAGATTATGATCACGTTGACGGGTATTAAGACGTTATGCCCCTCTCAGACTTTTCAATTCATCAAAATTCTTTTAGCTAGCTAGTCTTTTGTATTTGATTTATCTGTGAGCCAGCTCCAAGTGGCTGCACAAAAACGCGTTGTCTACGTTAGTGATGAAATTAACTAGTCGGCGTAAATGAAAGAACAAGTTTTTCAGAAATAATAATTATAATAATCATATTCTCTCTGTTCTAAAAAATAAAAATTAGTCAATGTTTAGTTTTGAAATTTGTATTATTTTTAGTACTAATTTCAAAACACAATGTAAATTATTTTTCTTGGAGAAGAAGTATAACTAAGAGTGAAATGCAAATTCAACGACGTGAAAATTTTTTATTTAAGACCACGTTTTGTTCAAAATGTATTGGCTAGCTGTACCTAACGCTACCAAGACAATAAAAGTGATGCAAAACAAATAGCACAAAAGAGGGTTAAAAGCAATGGAGGGAAGATGCTCGAACCCTGATATTTATGGATATACCCTAGTTATTATGTTATTGAGACTTAATTAGAGAAATTTATTATTTGAAACCTTACTTAAGGGAAGATTAAGTACATCCGTTTAGAATTATATCACGATGATGTAACAAAAAGACGGATCACATGTCCTAAATTCAACCAAAAAAAGAAAAAAAAAAAAACTTGAGATCATGCCATTTCTAAAGTATCTTTCTCAGAATAATGACTTACTTTTTCAGACGTGAATAACCCATCTGAATAGAGTAAAATAGTATAGTAAATTTGTAAAGGGATAATACAACAAAATCATTAGATCTCATAACATAATAGAGGAAAATAATTTTTTTTATTTATTTTTTTCTTTATGCAATGTGTTACAAATGGACTACACATAGACTAATATTAATTCTTGTTTGATCATTGGATTGCAACTTTTTTTTTCATATTAAAATCAATAGCTACTCTCTCATTTATTCTTTCGAATTTGCTAATGCGCCAAAATCTGATAATTGAACAGCTCTCCAGTAAGGTTAAAAACAAAAGGGAAAATTTGAAACACGAGCTGGCATAAAATTGCGATAATTGATTATAGCTTTATAGTAATATCTCATGATATGTTCAAGTATTTTCACCTACGCCCATAAAGTAAGTGTGTTCTTCAATAGTATTTAATGTAAAATTGGATTTTCTCTCTATGTATCATCGACATAGAAATGATATTATTTTTATCAGATAGTGTTAGCAAGAAAAGTAAACCCTCTGAAAATGACATTTATTTTTAATTAATTAAAGTAGCAAATTAATAGCTCCGGAAACAGCCAATTAAGTAGGAGATAAGATATTGAGTCTTGAAAGTAGCTATCAGACACTGTCATGATTTTGATAGCACTCATATGAACACTTCAACTGATTGGAAGTTTGAACGGATGGAAACAAAAATATAAATAATAAAATAAGTAAATCACTGTGAGAAAAAAAATATTGATATCTAGGTTTTGGAGAATCTTAGTTTAGCAACCGAAATTAATTCTACTGATCACTAATTTGAGTTCATCAGTCGTATATTAGCTGCCAATTAACAACGTAACACTAATTAATTTATAAGTTCGTGTTATATAAATCTCAACTAAATGTGTCATTATGTAGATACCAAGTGTGTGTTTTTTGGTCAATGCTAACTCACATGCAGACGCATCGATTTGTTGTCCTAGGTTTGAAAATAACTTAAAAGGTTTGATATACTTAGATTTGGAGAATTTGTTGACTTTGGAATATTGAGATATATAGCTAAAGTTTTATTAATAAAGTAGTAATAGCTAGGGTTTTGGAATAAAATTGTTATAGCTCGCTTAAATTTATTTGATTCATAAAAAGGAAGGGGAAATTTCTAGTATTTCAAATAAACACATTTCACAAGTATTTTAACTTTATAAGAGACACGTAGTGGGAAAAAGGAAATTAGATTATACATTAACTTTGATACAAAATTTATTTCATGATGACAGACTATTTTTCCCGAATATATCCCTTTGCTGAAAAAAAAAAGAATTAAAATAAGAGTAGTGTCACATGCAAGAAGAATGAGGTGGCTAAATCGTAACTATCCCTTAACACTTAAATAGATAAATATTTAAATTAAAAGTATAAATATAGATGGTTATATATATAATTCATTTCTTGTTAAAATTTCCTATAAAGTTTTCCTACATAGACCGTTATCCTTAAAATAATATTGAAACTTAATTTTTACTTTGGCGCATTGTTTGAGGGAAAATTGTGCTCCCGAAACCGTGAGAAAAAGGGGAACAGGAATCACCCAAAACACAATTAAATCAGACGATTATGGTTGAGTTCGAACCGGCCTCGGACCAGGATCGATGACTTTGGGTTATTGACTTTAGTTTGAGGAAGACAGGTAAAGACTTAGAAAAAGTGGGGAAAAGCCGAAGAGACGGTGTTTGACTCATAAAGTGGAAAAATCCTAGTGCCGGCTAGCTATAGATGGTGCCGATGACACGCTATTACATAGAAGACAAAGATGTTAGCGCCGACTAGACCTTGCCGATGACACACTATTACAGAAAAGACAATGATAGGACGGACGTGCAGAAGATAGTTCGACGCACTTAAGTGTTAGAACACTTATTACAGAATAACCGAATTCGTTAGAATAGAAAACGGTGAATACCTACCTAATTCTATGTATGAGAAAAAGGCAAACAACTCTATTGCTAAGCTAGGGACTAAGCAAGCATGATAGAACGTGATGAACTACCATAGGGAAGGTAAAAACATGATAAACGGTACTCCCTCCATTCCAAAATAAGTGTCATTCTAGAGTTTGCATACAGTTTAAGAAACACTTAAATAGGGTAGCTAAATTACTAGAATATCCTCAACTAACCCCATTAAAATAAATGTTCACCAATAATATTATTTTTTTTTGAGGATATGTTCGGAAATTTTTAACAAAAAATGCATTGAAATCCGAAAATGACACTTATTTTGGAATTTCTCTATTTTGTTAAAACGACACTTATTTTGGAATGGAGAGAGTAAAAGAAATAATAAAGGACAAGAAAAAACCAGTTGGTTGATCGGTGATGATTTTCTGTTTATGGCTGCCTCTATTTATAGTGCTTGGACGAAAGCCTTGTTGCCCTATGCTTTCTTGGAGAAAAGGTAGCTTGACATAGTCAATTTCCTTGGAAATAGGTTACTATTCCCGCAGCAGTCTCCCAATCGGTTGATGATTCTTCTCACAATCAGCTCTTATTTTGGTAATAGAATTCTTTCCCAAACATATCTCCTTAATTACTGATAATTTTCAATATAAAAAGGAGCAAACAATCAGGAGGAATCTGCCTTAATTGCCAATTAATCACACAGTCAATTCTAGAACAATTCTATTCCCATTTGGCTTCTACTTTTCTTCTCCAATTCTGAAACTGTTCACGCTCAACCAGCCTATAATGATCCAAACGTATATTGACCACTTTTGGGGTATTTTAGGGTCTTAAAATATCATATAAATTCACCAAAACTCCTGGGCCATGAATCATATCTCTCGTCGGCCCGATTTGTCAAAAACTGGTCGAACATAATGCCCCCCAAACGTTCATATTGAACATGACTTTGATATGAATGTTGATAAACACATTGCTACCACCAGCCAGAAGCATTCTGTGCTGCACTTAGATCCACATAGCACCATCCCACCGGATACATAATATAATATGGCACCCATGCATAATGTGAAGAATACGGGTTAAAGAATGATACATGCTTACTTCTTTGTGACGGCTGAGGCTTCCTCTTAAAGCCACTATCAGTTCTGGAGTTGGACTCTTGTGATCTTTGTTTGAGGATAGCTTCTATGATTCTTCTTCTTTTGAGTCATGTTAACACTGATGCCTGATTTTGGACTGAACCGGCCATTTGAAATAAGAGAACTAGAAGCACTCCTCACTTTTCGCTTCTCGGCATGTTGAACTTTAACACCAGGAATGACACATTTGTTCTTGACCTCTTTTGTAACTGTTGACAAGTGTCGACCTTGAAAATTCAATGCAGTAGCAGTAACTGGTTGTTAAACTTCTTAAGAACTGGATTTTTCATGGTAGCATTACTGACTGTATCAGAACCATCCTCCTTGGCGCCTTCCTTGTTATTTACTGCTAACAAATCTCGACCTTGCACAATCAATAGAAAAGTAATCGGTTGGTCGCATCTTACCTCGGGCTGACTGCCAAACTGTATGAAAACCGGGTTGGAGATGGCAGAACTACAAACTGTATCATAACCAATCAGCTTGCAGCTCTCTTCTTTGTTGACTGTAGATTCCACATTGGTTTCATTTAATGCCGCATGAACCAGCTGATCATCTTTTAACTGTGATTGAATCTGTTTCTCTTCAACTAGCTTAACAAATTTCAACTCCGCTTGACCCTTTTCCAACTTGTCATCCTTCTTTGAATGATCATCTTTGTTGCCCTCGCTATTTGCATCAACCTTTGGCTTCATACCAACATCCTTTTTGACCACTATCTTTTCAACATGAAATGCTCTAATCCTCTTTGGTGTAGATCCAAAAAGTTTGGCATAAGCTCGAGTGCAACGCCTTTTCCCTTGACCACCTAATGATTTCAGGATCTTCGGATCAGCGATCAACTCAAATTTCCATTTTACAGCAGCACCATAATCCAGCCAAGCAATGCATTTCTCCTCTTGATTCCCATCGGATTCAGCATCAACACAAAGAGAATCGGCCCCAGATAAAGAGTTTGTAGACGTGGCTCTATCGGCGTGACAAAAAGAATTTTTCATGGACTTATCTTTATGCCTTTTGCTGCTGGACCTCATGGACTCTCTCTTGTCATAAATCCACGCATTATTAGAGCGTCTTTTGACTAGTGAAGAAGCAACCGTTTGCTCAGCTCGATCGCCACTAGAATCAGTATGCCGAACTTGACTTTTATTACCACCAATCCCCCCCTTTTTTGGAACACTTTCTACTTCTAACAACTTGATCTTATACACATTAGCTCGTTCCTCATCTTGTGTCTTCAAACGTTCTTGATCTAGTTGCTCAAGAGAAATAGAATCGGCCGACGAATCAAGATGCGGAGTTTGATCACTATCAATGCAAATCAATTCTGTGGGTACTTCACCAACTGCCAATGATGTAGTCGTGCTTATTTTAGCTTGATCAACACCGAATGCCGTCAATCTGCTTTTATCTTGTTTACTAAACTGTGAAGGAACAGAAGCTGTCGCGGTGGCTGCCCCATGCTGCCGATCATTGCAGATTGACCCCTCTGACATTTCATCAGTTATTGACGAAGTGTCTTTAGTCTCCTCACTATCAAGCATTATCAATCGACCTTGTTCTTGTTGAGAGAGATTTGAAAAATCTGAAGCTATGTCGGCTACAAAACCAGACTGCCGGCTATTATCAGAAGACTCGTTCTTTTGATTTTGAAACACGTTCCTTGAGTTACCTTCAATTGATGACAACTTCATCTTACTCGCAGCAATGACATCAATCCCAGATGAATTCAAGCAACATTGTTCTTCATGCTCCAATGGTGAGGAACCCAAAACCTGATGGGAAGGGCTAGAATGCCGAATGTGACCATGATCATTAAGACTTGTATCCATATCTTTCAAACCATCTTCAATTGATGATAGCTTCATTTCACTTGTTTCAACTACATCGATCTTGAGTATAGTTAAACGGTCTTGACCTCGATGACCCATAATTTTGTTGTCTGTAAAGCTGTTATCACCATGGTCTTGAGGTTTTGCATTATACCGGTCTCTGCAATCAATTTTCTCGTCGACCTCCTCACTGCTTGTAGATTTGACATCTTCGCTTTGTTGGTCAACATACTCTTAAAAGCCATTAACATCTACAGAATCACCAAGGCATAACGATTCAATTTCTATCTCTACTGTTGGAACTTGGAACACGTGTTGCACCATACTATCAAAATTCCCCATACAAGCATCTACGTCTCTATTCAAACCATCAATCATTTTTTCTATGTTCACCATGGATGTATGAAGCTACCATTGGTAATCATCAATCTTGTCGAACCCACTTACATTCAGAATGGATGATGGGTATTTCACAAGCTGTCCTTTATCACCTTTACTAACAATCATAGAACCGAACTAAAAACCTGGATCAACATGATATTGACAAGTACCCATACCTTCTGGACTGAGTGTGTAAGGATTCGCCGAACAAACAACACCAAGTCGATGTGTATCATTGTAGACTGCTGATCGTCTGACGGTTCGCCCAAACATCAAGTCATGAGTATCGAATGACCAAGATTTATCATTAGCAACTTGGTCCCCGGACATCAAAGAAATTTCTTGAGAATAGCGGCCATCTGAATTAGTCGGCCCTTCATCTGTCAGTAACAACATTCTAGATTGCTAATCCCGTTCATGAATTATTTGGAACCCGTTGCTACTATTATCGGCATCATAATAACTAGTACCTACACAGATCTGTTTCTTGTTAACCAGCCATTTTTCTCGAACATAGTGCCCAACTGTAGAACCACCAACCAATGTGGGTGTTGTGACAGTAAATGTTGAAACAATCGATCATGCAATGAGAACGTCAGACACCGATGCTACTCTAACGGCACTCGTGACAATTCTTCATTGATGGTTTATTAGCACATAAACCGGCAAAAGTGATTCTTGCAACTGACCCTGTTCCAACTGAGACATACTTTGAAAAGATCTATTTGGCACCACCTGCTGATCAAACTCGTTGTTTCGCCCATCTGTCTCTGAAACTGTAACATCTGCCCTTGGAACTCTTTGAATAGTACCATCTTCTGATCGAACGGCCTCGCCTACTCATGGAACGCTGTTAACTGTTGCTGAAACTGATGAGATTGCATCACTTGTTGTTGATCTTGTTCTGATGACGACTGGAACTCCTTAGCCTGTATTTGCTCTATCGGCACCAACCGCTGGTTTTGTGCTGTTAATAGTAATTTAGAACCCTGAATATCCAGTAAAGGCAACTCCACCAATTCTTGAAAGTGCGTCGTTTCATGTTGAAGATGTTGATCCATCCATCGTGCGATCGGTTGATGACATACTAAGGATGATTGGTTTCTCACTGCCGATTGCTGCACTTGCTAATATTCTAACGATAACTGCTGCAACTTTATCATTGATTGCTCAACTTGCCGAGACACGATTGATGACGGTTGCAACTCTTAGAGTGATGCCCATAATCGTCACATCCATAATAGTTGTTGCATTTGCTGGATTTGTGTCACCAATTGTTGCTCTTGTTGAGATTGTACCAGCAGTTGTTGGATCGGTGCTATAGATGGACTGGCTTGCTCGGATTGCACTGGAGATGGCTGAATCTGCTGAAGTCGCACCAATGGTTGTTGTGCCTGCAACAATGGCTGTATCGATATCTCATTCAACTGCGTTGCTATCCGATCAGTTGGTCAAGACTCTACTGATGACGACTGTGACTGCGCTATAGACCAAGACCATGTTGGTGAGGACTGAGCCGACACCAATGATAACTGAACCTACGTGGACTCTATCCATTGTTGAATTTGCAACTGCGTATGAGACTGGACTGACTGTGAAATCTCATGAATTGATTGAGGCTGGATCTCTGTCAATGATTGATGCTGAGCTGATTCTAGAGACTGTGTCAGCTGCTGGGACTATAATGGCATAACAGATGGATCAGTCTGCTGGAGCTGCTTTGGTTGTGACCAAACCCGTCGGATCAATCCAGACTGTAACTAAATATCCTGATACTCTATCGGCCCTGAATGTGGCTGGTGCACATGTGCCGATGTAGATGCTGTTTGGCTATGTCGTAATTGCGCCTGTTGCATCAGCACTGTTGCTGAATCATTATTCTGATGCTGAATCGGTTGTAAGCGAACCTACTGGGCCGGTGTCGCTGGCCACTGGGACTGCGTCGATTCTAACTGCACAGATTGTGTTGTCTACTGATCGGCTTGCTGAAACTCTACTGGCCATGAACAGGACTGCTGGGTATGCATTAGTGATAGGTGACTCTGTTGTGACTGCGATGATAGCTGTTGAAAGGTCATCGTCGGCTGCTGAAATTGTTGGGACTCATGATCAAAAGCCGTAGATTGTTGTCTACCATCTTCGAATAGAACATGCTCATTGATCTGACCACCATCGAGCCTATCATGGCAACCGTATTAATGCAGTTGATTGCCAAAAATGGCTTGCTCTGGTTGTTCATCTGCGGCATATATAACCCTAGAGCCAGGTTGTGCCAATTCAAGTTGTTGGAAAATCTGCCGACCAAGTGATGATGGGTTATGTTGGATTTGGGGCGATGATGATTGAGGATGTTGAAAGATTTGCCCACCAAGTGGTGATGAGCTATATTGGACGTAGGGTTACATGGATAGATTTGGTTCAGATATCTACCCACCAAGTGGTGATGAGCCATATTGGATGTTGGGGATGTCTATATAAGGTTAGAATTTTCAAGCAACTAACTACATGGAACAACGGTATAGACCGGACCTCCAGAAGTGTCAAAGGCATAATTTTGGGTGTTTAAATACGCAATGACAAGGAAAAAGGAAAAGACTCTTTTTTGGATTTTATGACACAGGAAACTTCGTGGTATGATGACTGACTTCCACGATTTACAAATCAAACTAAAGCTTGCCCCGCTGGGCGTGTCAAATTATGTTTGCATGAAAATTGTGCATACAAAGCCGTGGGAAAAAGGGAAATAGGAATCACCCAAAATACAATTAAATCAGACGATTGTGGTTGATTTCGAACTGGCCTCGGACCAGAATCGAGGACTTAGGACTATTGGCTTTAGTTTGAGGAAGACAAGTAGAGACTTAGAGAAAGTGGGGGAAAACCGAAGAGACGGCGTTTGACTCATAAAGTGGAAAATCCTGGCGCAGACAAGCTATAGATGGTGTCGATGACACGCTATTACATAGAAGAAAAAGATATTAGCACCGACTGGACCTTACCGATGACACGCTATTATAGAGAAGACAATGATAGGACGGACGTATAGAAGGTAGTCCGACGCACATAAGTGTTAGAACACCTATTACAAAATAACCGAATTCATTAGAATAGAAAACGGTGAACACCTACCTAATTCTATGTAGGAGAAAAAGGCAAACAACTCTATTGCTAAGCTAGGGGCTAAACAAGCATGATAAAACGTGATGAACTACCATAGGGAATGTAAAAACATGATAAACGGTAAAAGAAATAATAAAGGACAAGAAAAACCAGTTGTATGGTTGGTTGATCGGTGATGATTTTCTCTTCATGACTATCTCTATTTATAGTGCTTGGACGAAACCTTTGCTACCTTATACTTTCTTGGTGAAAAGGTAGCTTAACATAGTCAATTTTCTTGGAAATAGGTTACTATTCCCGCAGCAGTCTCCCAATCGGTTGATGATTCTTCTCACAATCAGCTCTTAATTTGGTAATAGAATTCTTTCCCAAATATATCTCCTTAATTACTGATAATTTCTCATATAAAAAGGGGCAAGAAATCAGGAAGAATCTGCTTTAATTGTCAATTAATCACGCAGCCAATTCTGGAACAATTCTATTCTCACTTGGCTTCTACTTTCTTTCTCCAATTCTAAAACTGTTCACACTCAACCAGCCTATATTGATCCCAAATGTATTTTGACCACTTTTGGGCTATTTGAGCCTTAAAATATCATATAAATCCACCAAAACCCTTGGGCCATTAATCATATCTCTCGTCGGCCCGATTTCCCAAAAACTGGATATAAGTATAAGTTGAGGATTGGGAAAGAGGAATGAAATGTATACCGGCCGTGCGCAAGCTTAGTATACCCCTCGTTATGTTGGCAATTTATCCAGTATACCCGGGGGCACGGTACCCCCTCCTATTTTTTGCATTTCTAGTCCTTATTGTACTTTTTTATCAATCTTTCTATATTTTGCAAGTTTAGTCCCTGTCATTTTTTCTCTCTCTTACAAAAAAAAACATCTCTAATCTTTCAACGAGCATATCTCCCAATCCGTGAAGAATTTGTGAACGAATTATATATAAAATTTATAGTACTCGTCGAGATCTATCTAACAAAATCCATAGTGAATATTTTTTTCGGGCTTAAAAATAACTTAATTCTAATGGATAGAATAGAGGTGGATATCCAGTTTTACAAGATGGATAACCAATTTGTTCTAAATTGGTTATCCATTGTGTTCATGGTGATTATCCAATCAGTTTGAACTGGTTATCCAACTTCTTTGTACTGGATATCCACCCATTTGGTTTGTATGCCTATCAAACTTGTTTGTAATGGATATCCCATTTGTTTGTACTGGATATCCATCTTTTTAAACTGGATATCCAATGTGTTCATATTGATTATCCAACTTCTTTGTGGTGGTTATTCAGTATTTTTTTTGCCTTGCTCTTTTATGAAAATGATTGTCAAAATTTTTTGTACTGATTATCCAACGTGTTGCACTGATTATCCAATTATTTTCTATTGATTATCCAAATTGTTTGCAATGCTTATCCAATCATTTTTTCTTTCTTTCTTTTTTTTTTGAAGAGTGAATGTCAAAAATATGATTGGATAACAAGTACGAACAGAATGGATAATCAGTCCAAACCGGTTGGATAATCAGTAGGAACACAACGGATAACCATTTTTCAAAGAAAAACAAAAAACACATTTCTTCATTTCTGCCCGTAAAATTTAAATGCATTTAAAGTTCAAAAAATATTCAACATGGATCTTATCAGATAGATCTCATCGAGCATTATAAATTTCATATATAATTCGTGTTATAATTCTTTACGAATCAAAAGATACAAGGAACACAACAATATGAATGTAAAATAAGTTGGTTATCCATCTTTTTAAACTGGATATCTAATGTGTTCATATTGATTATCCAACTTCTTTGTGGTGGTTATCCAGTATTTTTTTTCCTTGCTCTTTAATGAAAATGATTGTCAAACTTTTTTGTACTAATTATCCAACGTATTGCACTGATTATCCAATTATTTTCTATTGATTATCCAAATTGTTTGCAATGCTTATCCAATCATTTTTTCTTTCTTTCTTTTTTTTTTTGAAGAATGAATGTCAAAAATATAATTGGATAACAAGTACAAACAGAATGAATAACCATTTCAAACTGATTGGATAATAAGCATGAACACAATGGATAACCAATTTAGAACAAGTTGGTTATCCAAATTGTTTGAACTCGTTATCCACTGTGTTCATTCTGATTATCAAACTTGTTTGTACTGGATATCCAATTTGTTTGTACTGGATATACAACTTAATTCTGCCCAAAGAAATTTGATCATTTTCAAGTTGGAAAAAAATATTGGATATGGATCTTGTTGAATAGATCTCAACTAGGCCTGTTCATTCGGGTCAAAATAACGGGTTTCAGGTCAAAGAAATCGGTTATTCAGGTCCTCGGGTGGAAAACGGGTTGACCTGAATTAAATCACACTGTCATCTGACTAACAACCCGAATAACTTGTTCGGTTATTCGGGTTTCCGGTCGGGTAATCGGGTATACCCGAATAACATTATTTTTTTAAAACAGATTTACTGCAACATTTTTTTTTTCTTTTGGCCTATAATTTTAAATTTCCTTATACTCACCTATCTATTATATTGTTTTGAGCATCCAGTACACTAAAAGGCACATAATCCAATTATAACAAATATTACAATCTCCAAAATAAACACATCATGTAGTAATTAATTCAAAACACCCTGGAACACATTTGTGTGCACAAAAGCTCGAGCTTCAGTGTTCAATCCATGTTTTGTGATATATCTTCTACTACTTCTGCTGCAACATTCAGTTGTTCTTCACCAAGAATGCATCTGGAAACTACAAATAACAGGAGAAGGCAGATTACTGTCAAGAAAAACAGAGGAATGGTAGAAAAATGACTTCATATTATAATGACCATATCTCTCTCTTAAAGGATTCTCGGTTTATGCCCACAAAAATCAAAGTTTCAGGGTCAGATTTCTCTTACAAACCAACACATAAAGTTTCAGGATATTCCAAGCAAGATTGTTCATACAAAAGTGGGAACCACAGAGTTCAAAATTGTCAATTAGATCAAAATGCATAAGGCTGACCAACTTCAACATGACATTTACAGATACATGCTTCAACATGAAGTTTTAAGTACATGCAGAGCAACTAAAGAAATTGAGATAATAATCTTGTAAAAGAGATCCGGGTCTGTGACAAACAACATTAGGTAACTGATAGTACAGTTAACATGGTCCAGAGACAGCACTGATCCTATCATTGGTGCCATCCTACTAGCCACCATAGAGAGTTACAGAAAAAGCAAGGTTTAGATATAATGTCAAGCTTCCGTCTAAAAAGTACTATATGTGTGGGAGTAAGTAATCACGTGCCAGTAGGGTAGACCCATTATCAGCATCTTATTAATTCACTCAATAAATATCTCATCTCCAAACTGCAAATAGTTGTTATCAGTTTCAGAGCATTGGTATTGGAATAGTCAAAATTGTAATGCAAGCTAGACATTCCGATGACTAATTTCACACATTAATCTAGTCATAGGTTTAGGCAACTAAGGCTTAAAGGAAATAAGCAAAGTCAAGGTCAGTGACCTAGAGGAACCTTACCATTACCATCTATAAAAGAGTAATAAAATAATTAGAGAAGGAAGAACTACAGAGAGTTGAGTAAGACAAACCTCTGCCCACGTAGCTTCTAGTTCAGTGGCCCCTGCAACATGGATAAAGAAACTAATCAGAAACAGAAGATCAGAAATAAATTTTAGAAAGCTGATAAACATATGCAGGGAGTCAACTCTATATCTCAAAGTACAAAATCGCAGACTAATATTATCTTTGAAGCAGAAGAAAGCAGCTATGGCTTACTTTAAATACGGCATCATATTCAATTTACAAAACATGATCTTGAAATAGAAAGAAAAACAGTATAGTTACAGAAATACTCAGGCAGAAAGAAAACTTGCTGATAATAAACAGTATAGCTGTATCTTTGGAAATTCACTTTACTGCAGAAAGAAAACTACCTTAGTCATCAAACAATCATTCTGAAATC